TCGAGGGAGACCGTGGGTCGAGCGAGACAGCGAGAGGAAACATGAGTCACCCACTGGCCGCGGATCTTGCCCACATGGTCGGCGATGCAGCTGTAGATGTCGGAGTTCTTGCGGTACACCTCGGCCAGCAGCTCCCCGAAGAAGCGATTGTCCAGCTTGTTCTGCTTCGGCTGCTCTGCCGCCTGCGAGGAGACCACCCTGGCCTCCGTCTTCACCACGCTGCTCCTCTCTACCGTCTCGCTGAGCACAGTCTTCTGGCCCCCCCAGCAGCGCCACCGCCAGGACAAAACAAAGAGCGACGCCGCCGGTTATCTCCTAAATGCATTCGCCCACGCATCTCCAGCGGAAGGCTGGTCATAGCTGTGGCAAACAGTGTGTCCTCCGCTTTCAGTGATAATGTCCAGACCAGTTCAAACACAGCACGGTCTGCTCAGGTAGAACTTGTCTGTCGCTCCTGGAGCTGGGTGCATGAAGCAGGTGGCTGCACAGACAGCGCCTCCTACAGGCTGCGCCCTGCAGACGAGAGTGGGTTCACTGTTCCCACGAGTGCCGGCTGTGGTTGCGAGGGCAGCAGTGTTATCCTCCAGGAGGGGCGATCGTGCTCCCTTCAGATTCGCCTTGAATCACCTTGCTGCCACGCCTCCGCACTGTGCGCTTTTCACACATGGTCTGCCAACTGCTTAACAGCCGGGATATGTATAGAACACAGCAGTGGCCACCCCTGTTTTCAGAAGACCATACTCACCAAGGTTTGATTGATCTCCTTAAGTCATCAGTCACATTAACAATCTGTCTGTCGCATAGTTGTTGTGCAGTTATCAGACTTAACCAACACACTGAAAGACCAGGGCTGACCATCCCTGGCCTGACAGACAAACCTTCTACTCCGTCCATGACTGGAGGAATGTGCTTGTGAGATTCTTATGTGTCAATGGAAAAGGAGGCATCTGCTTTCTTCCGCTGTCATCTGCACTAAGTCACTATCATCTGCACTCTCAACCCGTGATATGCCGTACACACAGATTTGTCTACTAACAACTGGAAGAGCTGCATCCTTATAATCGATTAGAGGAGCCTCAGTTCCTCCTGTTTGGCTAGAACTATTCCCAAGGCACTGTGGCTAAACACCGCATTCTAAACTGAAATCCATAACTAGACAACTGATGAGGAACCCGACGTGATTCCTCTTGCACAGCACAACGATCCATTTCAGGTTTTACCCAAAACTCGAGCCAAAACCAAGCGCGGAAGTTTAAACCCTGTGCCATTCATGTAGAATATGTTTGCACAGGGAAATGTGTGTGTGAAGAGAGAATCATAAACATCAATTATGTTGCAGCACACAAACTGTGTGGATGAATAATTTACTCCAAAGTCCACAAGAAGACAGTTCTTTGTGCCAGGCAAAACTACAGATGCTGTATTTGTGAAGCACAGGAAATCACAGCACACAGCACGCGATTGTGGCAGTGTTGTCCATCGCGTCCCCAGCCAGCTTCCTCTGGACAATTTTTGCAAGACCTGCAGGTCATCAACCCCGTGAAACTGATCACAGTGCAATGCAGTGGCATTCTACTTTTTGCCCCTGTGGCAGACAGGCCTGTGAGCAAAGTTCAGAGGATCACAAAGCAGACACCAATAGCACATTTTAGGAATTTTAGCTCCGAGGTGTTCTTTGCATTATGCATTAAAGACATTTGCATAAAAAGAGATGAAACTCTACGGTATGTTTTATGTAGAAGATAAAAGCAGCAGCATGGTGCCAAATGCAACTTGGACTTAAAGGACTTTGCTGTATGAGACCTCTCGAGCACTGGGAGTTTTGTCCTGCCTGGTCGCAGTGAGAGGAAGCTGAGAGTTGCCTGTGCCAATATGACATGGATTTCAGCCTGGATACTCCTGAATGCTCTTCGATTGCCGATTAAATTGATCTTTATCAGTTAGGTCGCTTCCAAAAAGGCCACAAACCCCAGATCAGTTTTAAAGCAGGGCGAACTGGCTGAGCTGCATTCCCGTGGTGTAGCAGGATGCTGCCAGCGAGAAACAGTTCCAAGGAGAGGGGAGAGGTGCTGTCGTGAGTAGACTCAGAAACAATCTCAGGCAAAAGCAAAAACAACAACGAGGCAGTAAAAACAGGAGGCCCACCCAGGGTTGCAACACACACTTATCTGGCTTTCCAATCTTAATTATTTTCCGAGACAGCCACACTTTCACTGCGGATACGATGGGCTCAGCACAGTGACAGGCAGACGTGGGACTCAGATCTGAGTACGTAAAAAACAGGAAATCGGGGCTTTAGAACCCCGACAAGCAATTGAAGCCAGGTGCTCGTGTGCGGTTTGCCAGATTTCTCGAGGAATTACAAAACTGCAAACTGAGCGCGTCTGGAGAAGGACCCAGAGGGGACTAGAAATGGACAGGAGCAGAAGCAGGACAATACTGAGGTCGTCTGCGGCCCCACAGTGAGGTACCACCCCAGGCCAAAAAGAACAATATGACAGATATTCCAATACCCTATACGTTCTCCTTCATTTCTCGTTGCTTTAAAGCAGGAGTCTTCACCTCTGGCCCTGGAGTCCCAACCCAGTTAGTCTTATATAAGTAGGTCACCTGTTTCTAAACTTGACAACACCTGTAAGGTTCTGATGAATTATGCAAAGGAACTCCCGAAATACGAGAACTCGGCGTTTGGGATCTCCAGATTTCATCTCTTAATATATCATCTACATAATGGATCACAATGGAACTGTGCCATGGACTGTGTGATGGTGACCCTTAAAACCTGCTGGACTGAGGCCCTTCAGACCAGGGCTTAGGAACGCTGCTGTAAGGGAAGGTGTGAGTCACCTTTCCCAGTATAGCGGTCATGCCTTTGGTCCTTAGTCATGGGATTCAATGCTGCTCCACAGAACTGGAATTATTTTAAGACAAAACTTCTTCTTTCACCATGCTGTCCTTGGGAAGACAACTGGAGGCAACATTTGAAATTGAATAGCTTTCTAACAAGCTAGCCTTAATGGGACTCCATCTTTCCAGGCACCCAATGATGTTACGTTCGTGTCTTTGCGTCTGGAGTCATCAGTCCATCTCCTCTCCTCCCTCGTCTCATGCCAGACACCCCGAGAGATGCGCTGAGACACACGTATACAAAAACACTGCTCACAACATGCAGAGAGCCCATCTGCTTGAATGGCATGAGACACAACTGCAGAATGAACACAGCAGCTGCCGAATGCAATAAAATATACAGCACTCCACGTCTAAACATCACAAACGTTCTTTACCCAAAGCAAGTGGAATACAGACCAAAGCTTTTTCCCCACAACCGGCGGTATGCTGTCGAGTTTTCTCATGCATGTGTTTAGAAACATGGGTATTCTGCAGCGTGCATGAACAGGAACAACCCCGGGAAGGGCAGAACCCCGTCCTGCACACTGTCCGTGTGAGGGCCGGAGCACTGGTCACTGCAGGGTGGGAAAGAGCAGGAGCAGACTGTGTCCATCTGCACCTCGTTTTGTGTGTTTGTTTGTGTTTTTATTGCATAAATGTCTGCTAAAAACTGCCTGTTTTCTCACGTCTCTACTTGTGTTACAAAACACCAGATGATTTGCAAATGAAAGGAAATGCTGTTCGTGCTCGATTGGCTTCTAGTACCTAGCTGATAAAAGGAGCTCATTCATCCATCACGTGAAAGAAGCTACGATGTCACAACATAGCTGAGCAGGTTGCTCCACACCCCTACAACCCTTTATAGCTTTTTGTGGTTCACCCTGGTACAGAACAGAGAAAAACCAGATCAGATCATGACAGAGGCATGTTGAGGCCTAGATGGGTATAAAACAGCATAATAAAGGTTTTGGGTAAACCACTGAAACGTTCAGGTTCAAGCACAACATAATAAAGGTTTTGGGTAAACCACTGAAAAGTTAAGATGGTCTGAACCACAGGGAACTGTAGAAACACTGTATCCTGCACAATTTACCAGGGCAAAGAGTCACAAACATCCGAGTTGAAACTCCTAAAGCCTTACTTCCCAGAACTTGTACTTGCCTAATTTGTTTAAACCTTCCAATAATCACCATCAATTTGAATTAATAAAAGAAAGGGTGCGTCTTGTTATTTTAGTTACAGTTTAGTGACTTGTTATTTTAGCGCAGCTGAAGTTGAAAATGGTGGTGAGCCAGGAAAAACGGCAGAAGACCAGAAGTTTCTGCAACCAGTACAATCGGTTTTGAAATCCCCGTGATCAAGTCATTCGGAGCACAGTAACGGCACACGAGAACATGAGAGGTGACCAACGAGAGGAGACATTCGGCCGTTCTGCCCGTTAGATAGTCAATAGCTCATCGATCCCAGGGTTTCATCCAGCTGTCTATCGAAAGAAACTCGAGTATCGCCTTCAACAACACGGCTGGGTATCTTGTGCCATACTGCCACAATCCTTAGTGTAAAGCAGGGGGCTTCTATCCTCAGACTGAAATGCACTTCTGATGGTGCTGTGTGGTTCATGCCTCACTCTCGATACTGAATGATTTCGCTGGTCTGACCTTGTCGAGGCCTCTGACTGTTTCTCGCACTCTGTTCGGGGTTGTAACGTTACCCAGAGGAAACTGAGCTGTCTTCTGCCACTCGGAATCTTCCCCCGCAGACGCGAGGTGACCTTTGTCACGCGGTGAGACGCGCTTGGTTGTTTAACCGGGCAGGGCGGACCGTGGGCGTGTCCACTCTCCGCGCCAGGCCTCGTCAAATCGCGTTTCTTTTTCAAACGTTTCACTTGTTATTTAGTTACTTTACAATCAAAGGCGGGGAAAAAAAGAGTTGTCTAACAAATAAAAGCGAACAGAAACGACAGAAAACAAAACTACCCTTCCAGAGGTAAATTACAAATGAGAGCACAATAAGATTTTTACGTACAAGTCTTGCACGTTTTTAAATGTTGTTCAGGTTTTTTTTTTCTTAGAAATGTTAAAGAAGAGGGCAGCATTAGACCATAGTGTTTAATGAATATAACATCTCGTATCTTAAGATTTTACGAGGCGCTGTCATTTTAAACGCACTGTGTGTTAACGCATTATGAGAAAACGTTTGTGACTGTGATTCCTATACTTTCAGTGTCAATCAAAGTAGCGATTACATCATAAAACAAATTCCTATATCAGGCGTGTATGCAAGATTGGTTAACGTGTGCATTTCAGCGCTTTTATCCCACACCGGTCTGTGCTTTTTAAGTGTCTTTTTCTTTTTTTTTCTCATT